AACACGTGCTCCGGCGTCTCCTCGGGGGAGCACGTGGCCCGGGGGCCGTGCGGGTTCCCCGAGTGGGAGTGTCTGTAGGGGACCTCCCCGGTCTCCAGCCTCTGGCGCTCGGCCATCCAGTCGAGGTCCTTTCCCAGATTTCTCTGGGAACCCAGAGCCTCTCTCCTGCGGGCAGCTGCCCTCTCACCTCTTTGCCAGGGAGGAGAGCCATGGGACTTCAGGGGATAATGGGGAGGACGGGATAAACGGGGGCTGGGGGCTTCAGTTGGGGAGGGTGTTTGGATATCAATCCAGATAACCCCCTCATACAAACACACTAAACACATACTGTACTAAGACGCGTCTTTCAGGACATAATGCTTCCGAGCGTCCTACATTATTGAGGGTTTGGATTTGCATTAATCTCAAACTGGGTTGTTAAATATTTAGGCCTTCATTTCAACAGCTTGTGCTCTTTTGGAGAACCGGGCCTCTCAGCTCTTGATGGGGGGGTGGGTGTTTCACAATGAAGTACAATGCTGTACTTCCCATCATGCAACTAAGTCCCTTTCAGCCAATCGGGAAGCCAGGATTCTCGTATGGGTCGAGGTGCCCACTAGTGCCTCCCGGAACAGAGGAGCCACTGTGTGCCGAGAGGCTGAGAGCCCTGGAGTCTCTCACCTCTTTCTTAAGCGTTGCTGTGCAGCCGTCTCCCACGCCCGTGTGTCAGAGCTGTGTTGTGGGTATCTCAGAGTGCGCACAGAGAGCAGCGACTTCCTGACCTCGCTGGCGTGAGCCTCCGACTTGCAGGTGGTTTCCGTAGTCTGCGTCAGACTTTCAGCGCGTCCCCAGACCCTGCAGACATCGGACGCGCTGTGTAATCGCCGAAGAGAGCGGAGTTAACGGGTTCAGAGCGGTCTCACGACTGCGCTGGCGTCCGTAACCTGGACTGAACTTGAATCCACACGCTGCAGGTGCGCCAGGTGCGCTGTAGATCAAGCAACCGGATGGGGGCGCTCGCTGAGGAAGTTACGCTTCCGGAAGTGGCTTGAGAAGTGTGTGAGGGCAGGTCGGCACCGGGGAGGAGGTGCAGCTCTGAGAGAGAGGAG